CTAGCCCAAATCCAGTGTGAAAGTCTCAGGATACCAAGGCATACAGTCACATTGGCAACTCATTCTAAGCCCATTCATTTACTTGAAAGCACATTTCTTCTGTACAAGAGGGTCAGACAGAAATGATTTTTTCCCCTTCTTAGCACATGCAGTTCTCTTCTATTTTCCTCTTTCTCTGGTGCTGCCATCGGTTGCCACTCTTCCTTTTTAGGGAAATTCAGGATTGATTAGCTTTTGGATCCATTTATTTTATTGTTTATTGCAGATCTCTTCTCCAGCAGCACATTTCAAATGACTTGATTCTCATCCTGTCCCTTTCTTTCACTATCTACATATATGGAGACTGAAAATACTTTGGCACGAATAGTCCTTACTTTGATAGATACTAAAGTGCACTCATTGGGACTATTCCTCATAAGCGGGTACATTAGTCAAATTGTTGCCTGTGGGACACAAATACCCTACCTACCTACCTCAAAGGGCTGCATTCCCTTTCTGTGAGGCTTCTGGAAATATGGTTCTTCTCTAAAACAGTGTGCATGTTCCATATACTCATTGTTTTACTATGAAAATGGGGTGTGCTATTTTTAAAGCAATTCCTGCTGCAACCAACAATGGGGCGGAGACATGCAGTCTGTGGGGTGCATCTTGCCTGCTCCTGATATATAGGATCTTTGTAGCGTCATCCCATGCCCAGGTGTGCGATAATAAACCTCATTAACATTTGACTACCTTCTGAGTTCCCTTCTAGAGCCCCTTCTACACTGCTATATAATCCAGATTATAAAATAAAATAATCCACATTATCTGCTTTTGAACTGGATTACATGAGTCTACAATGCCATATAATCCAGTTCAAAACAGATAATCTTTATATGGCAGTGTAAGACGGGGCCTGAGAAACAATACACTCACCAGATACTACTATTGTTTTTTGGGTCTTGTGCTTATCATAGAATCGTAGAATCAAAGAGTTGGAAGAGACCTCATGGGCCATCCAGTCCAACCCCCTGCCAAGATGTCAAATTGCAAGTGTCATGGTTGCAGCATCACAGTTTCTCTGTCAGCTTTGCTGCCTTTTTCTTTCCCCAAGAACAGAATTGTTCCAAGACACCATGAGGCCCAGGATGCGGGCCACCTCAAAAGCAGCAGTGGTATCTGGTTGCCTTTTCTTCACTGTTACCCAAAAGTATGCTGCACCCAAAACATCGAAGAAAGGGCAGCGGTAGCTGGGCAACTATAAGGCAGCCTTTCAAAAGTGATTAGAAAACTTAAGGGAGCCCAACTGCCAAGGGCAATATACACAGAGAGACAGTGAATTTTAAATAACACTATTCTAAAAAAGCTGAAATTATATTCCTGCTTACTTATGAGAAGAGGAAATCAGGTCGATCCCCCCACTTTCCAATAGTCAAGAATATTACAGTATTTCAGCCATGGTAATTACAATTCGACATCCTATTCTAAGCTACATTCAAATGCTTGGGATGAGCACAATTTAAATCAGTGTGTTCCTGTAATCATGGCTACTGAGAAAAGACGTTATGATTTGTACTTTCTTAATTTTGCAAGAGCCAATTTTTATGGCACTATAAAACCTCTCTACCTTTATTTTCTGCCACAAATCTTTGTAGCATTCCACTTCACCTGTGGAATAAAACCAAACATACACGTAATGTTCTTTTCCAGATTTCCTATACATGCTTTTCATGTACAAATATATAAATATCATGTTTTTTTATATTGCTTGTTCCAGCGAATTCCTATAGATAGATTAGCACAATAAGTGCTCTGTTCTCTAAACACATGCCTTTGAATAGAAATAGAAATAGAAATTCCAATCTGTGTTAGAAAGGGTCACTGTGGTGGCCTCCCAACTCCAAGTGTGTTGGCCTCCCAGCTCCAAGGATTTCTGGATGAAATGGATTATCTAGAACCATTTCAATCTAGTTTCAGGCCTGGCTATGGAACAGAGGCATCTTTGATCACCTTACTGGATGACCTATGCAGAGAGCTAGACTGGGGGAGTGGCTCCCCATTGGTTTTCCTGGATCTCTCAGCAGCTTTTGATACCATTGACCATGGTATCCTTCTGGATCATCTCACTGGGATGGGACTGGGAGGCACTGTCCTACAGTGGCTCCAATTCTTCCTGGAGGGCCATACACAGAAGGTGGTGACGGGGGCCTCCTGTTCGAACCCCTGGCCGTTAACCTGTGGGGTAATAATGATGATAATAATAATAATAATACTTTATTTATAACCCGTGTGGGTTCCATTCAGTGTGGGTTCCATTTTGTCTCCCATGCTGTTTAACATAGACATGAAACTGATGGGAGGGGTCACCCAGAGTTTTGGCCTATTTATCAGAGAATGAAATTCTTATTTAAAATATTAGGCAAATCCACAGATGGTATATGGAATAGTAACTTAGAATTTTATTTCGTTAGTCTTTTTTCCCACTAAACACTTGGGATATAATGCCATATTTCAACAAATCATATTTCAACAAATGTAAGGTGCACCTCAATTTTGAAGCTCCAATTTTAGAGGGGAAAAAACAATTTGCTTAAAATATTGTTTAGAATCTCCTCTGCACAATATGTTTTTTTAATGTTGCTTTGTAGTGCAATCTATCCTATGAGGTAAGGAAGCAGTCTGAAGAAAATTGGAAGTCATCTTGTCAGCATGAGTCTTTTTTTTTTTTTACTAAAGATCCCATCAGCTGGAGGTTTTCCTCCATTTCTGTACACTTCTGAATCCCACAGATCCCATCAAATGATGTACATTTTGCTCCACAAACTGCCTGTGAGATTCCATCTCTGGAGATGTAGAAACGGGTGGATTTGAAAGACAGGCAGGCATTGACTCCACTCCTCTCTTCATGTAGAAACACTTAAAAACTAATATTTTTCCCTGGAATGGGAAGTGTGGGTGTTCATGTGGGCAGGGTCTGTTAATGGTTTAAAGACAGTGTTTTAAAAGTGTCCTGATCTCCTTGAGAGGAGGGGTTCAAAGAGGACAAGGCAGATCTCATTGAAAGAAATGTTTTAAAAGTGTGCTGGCCTCCTTGAAATAAGAGGAGACAACACCATCTATATAATAGGAAACGAAGCGGATGGTTGAGCTAGAAACAAGAGAAAGTGATCCTGTGTAGTAAGAGTGAGTAAATTCTCTGTCTTCTTTCAAGATAGAGCACCATGGAAGGTCATGCCAAGAAGATGATTCCACTCACTTCCCCCACCCTCCCAATGGGGGAGGAGGTCCTAAGTCACTGGGTCCTTTGGGGAGGCCTCAGTAGTCTGGCTGAGTCTGAGGACACCATGGTAGGGGACTGGAAGAGCTGTTCAGGCTAGAGCCCTTCCATCACCTCCTCCTCCTGTAAGACAGTTTTTAAAAAAAAATTAAAAAAAACTAATTTGGGGCTGGGGCCATTTCTCTTCCTCTCTTAGAGGTAGGGCAGGCTTTTTAAAAAAATAAAAAACCCAAAACCAGTGACTTTTAGGGACCATTGAATCTAATGGACACTTCTGTCCTTAAACAGGAAAAAGTGTAACTTAGATTTGATGAAACATGGTACGCCGATTCTCTCCTTCACACACACACACACACACACACGGAAACAAAGTGACAAGAATGAATACACAACCTAGAAGGCAGCGAAAGTATGAAATTGCATGTTATTACCTCCTCTCTTTTAATCCTTGCACCTTTCACTTTCTCTAGGTCGCTCCATTGCATCAGACAACACAGGCAATTAGTTGTTTGTTGATAGTACGACAGGAATATGTAGCCTTCCAGATCTGTTGAGCTTCCTTTGCCTTCATGTTATTCTGCCATTGGTGTCATAGTCTTATCATCAACTATGCTTGCTAGGTCAGATGAGATTTGACGTCCCATCACAGCTGGAGCCATTCCATATTCACCATCCTTGTGTTAACATCTCAATGTTTATGCCCAAGCCTTTTCATCTTAGAAGCATCTACAACTGATCAGTTTGACAGTTACAAATGGCCACATCTGTTTTACTGTCAAGTTATTCTTCTTCCAATTGGCTAGAGAATTACCTTTTTGTACCTTTTCCATGATACCCTGTGGCCTGCAACACTGAGGCTCCATTTTTTCAGTGACTAGATTTGGAGGAAAGTCACTAAGTTGGGAGATTTCTTCTTCCAGCCCAAAGATCATGAACCTGTGAGTAGTTCCAGGTTGGGGGTGGTTAGGCCAAGTCTCTACAAAATCTTTTCCTAATCACTCTTGCTTACATACTGGTATAAAAACATTCCTCTGCCATGAAACTGAGAAGATGATCAAGATTTTTGTTGCATAATTAATAGATAAACACATATATCATTATGTGCTTCTTGATTGCAATTAATTTGGCTGCAAAGAGGCTCAGAGTAGGATAATTGATTGCTCTTTCCCCAATAAGACCCAAGGAAAAACATGGCTGGGGAAGCAAAGAGATATGGCTTTTCAAAGAAGATTGACAAGTGTCTTGTAGTAGGAACTTGCAAAATGTGTAAAAGGGATGATGGAAGTAATAAAAGAGGCTGTTGCCTAGGAAAAGCATGAATTATAACTTAATTACCATTTAATTTGTAATATATCCGAGTCTTTTCTGGCATGGCAGAGTGAGCATCGTTTGAGGTGTTCCGGTTCAATAGTTTCCCCCATACCAATTATTCCCAAATTATTAAACCATACTAGTGGGAAAGGATGCATATTTTGAAGGCCCTGATTGAACTTTTGTTAATGTCACTATTATTATTATTATTATTATTATTATTATTATTATTATTATTATTAATTTATTCATTTATATCCCATTTTGCCCCAACAATGAGCCTCAAAATGGATTATAAACATTAACATACATACACACATTACATGTACTGGTAATAATATCTATTGACTCATATTGTTTCCAGTATATTGTTATGTGCAACTTTTCTGACAGTATAATACATATGTGTTTGTTAATAAAAACGTACTCGTAATGGAGAAAAATTACTCTTATTTACACTACTTTATTGGGGGGGGGGGAATCTGTTTGTCAATTTGATGTAATTTATTCACAAATCTTTTTTTCCAAACAGTTTTGCACTTCCATTGTCTACAGATAGGTTCACAACAAGGAGTTTTCCATTTCAGAAAGGGATATTTCACAGCTAAGATATCTTGTAAAAGTATATATCCAAAAAAATTAAAAGCGAGCATGTACAGAAAAGTGATTTGCTAATACTGGTGTCACAGTTTACAAGTTATAACAAATAATACAGAAAGCACAAATACAGTAGTTATGAAGAACATAAATATTTTCACTTCTCATGTGGGTTGGTTGCAAACTGCTTCATCAGTGAGTAGTCCAGAGTTCAAAATGCAACAGAGGCTGGTTTCTTAATCCTCCATATTCCATCATGTCAAGTCTAATCCAAAATGGTTTGCCTCCTGAGACAAAGCAGCAAAATGTGCTTCCGCCTCAATCAGTTCAAGATGAACAGTACCCAAAAGCCAGCCGAGTTATTTTGGCACATGAGGCAGAAAATCCTATAAGCACATCTCTCAATTGTCAATAGTACAAACACAATAATAAAAAATTGCTTAAAGAACAATTTGCTGCCTCCTCATGAAACCCGAGACCTGCTACCTTGAAGCAGCCGCCTCGCCTTTCCTAAGGATAAGGCAGATCCAGCATCCTATTGAGTTCAGTGATGAAAGTGCACATTTAGACATCGTGAATTCAGTCCTTGTCTCAGTTTGGGGATGCCTAAGGCAAAGGACAGGAGAAGATAAAGTAAGATCATAGTTAATTTTCCCCAAGTCAATCACCATTACTATCAGTGTGCATTTCCCCTTTCTGTTTAAACAGTTCAGTCAATGAGTTTACATTTCAAGAAAGCAGGAATAGCATGAAAGCCATCTAGAAGCAGGTCAGGTAAAGAAGAAATGAGCAATTGAAAAATATACAGATTCTGGTGGATGCTTAAAATTTTAGGCATGGACTCTGTTATCCATTTGTTCTCTTCTTGTTTCTTATTTGCTCAACTTGCATGTCAGAGAATCAGCTCCAGTATTTCACTGTTGGCCTGCCACATATATATTAAGTGAAAGAGTTATTTTCATCCTCTAATCATTAGTCTTCTTCATGGAACTTTTTTTGAACAGTTTTGAACCTTGTTGGTGCAATTTCTTGAGAAGTGACACCATGAGTTTCTATTATACCATTAGTAATGCATATATGGACCATACACATTAAAATATTATATCATTCTATTCTGTTGAATTGTTATACCAATAGCCACAGGCTTAAAAGGAAATGTGTATCTGTAATAATCTGCATGCCAGATTGTGTGCAATCAGTCTACAACATACTATCAATTACACAACCAAACAGGGAAACAGAAAGTTACCACAATGTGAGACATCATTGAAATTCAGGAAGAAAGCCTAAGGACTGGAATACTAGCCTAAACTTGCACGTCTATATGTATTAATAAACATTGCTGAAGTCCTGCTTATCATGATGGTGGTCAATGATGAACCTATATGTTATTTTATCGACTGGAAATTACACTGAACCTTTTAAACAAACATCTTTTAAACAAACTACAAAAAAGGAAATTCCATCTGAACATTAGAAAGAACTTCCTGACTGTGAGAGCTGTTCAGCAGTGGAACTCTCTGCCCTGGAGCATGGTGGAGGCTCCTTCTTTGGAGGTTTTTAAACAGAGGCTGGATGGCCATCTGTCAGGGGTGCTTTGAATGCAATATTCCTGCTTCTTGGCAGGGGGTTGGACTGGATGGCTCATGAGGTCTCTTCTAACTCTATGATCTTGATCCTTGAACGGGTCCTGATGAATGTATTAAATAATAAATCTCCATGAAAGTTTTGGATGATTGGCCAAAAATTAGTTTTCACTTCATTGAAGCTCAACAGAATATCATTTACACATAGATGCCAAAATCTTGTTAACCTCAACTACAGTAGAATCAAGTGTGATGATTTTAGCACAATTCAATCAGTGGGTCTATTCTAGTCAGGACCATTAATAAAATTTAAACCACATTTGGAAGGACTGTCACCTTATCAGTATGCTGAAAACTATGATGAGGAAAATACAGATTGAACATCCCTTATCCAGAAATCTGAAATACTCCAAAATCCAGAATCAGCTGAGATAATGACACCCTTGCTTTCTGATAGTTCAATATCCACAAAGTGTTTCATGCACAAAATCACTTAAAATAGTCCACAAAATTACCATCAGGTTATATGCATAAGGTGTTTATTAAATATGAGTGCATTTTGTGTTTAGACATGGAGCCCATCATCAAGGTATCTCATTAAGTCTATTCCTAGGCTCTTCACTCCGTACAACTGAGGAACAGATTTAATCTACGAAAGCTGATGCTAACCAAATTCATTCTCTCAACTAGTCTCTAAGGTGATGCACAATCCCTTTGCATACAGACAGTCCAGACAAATGCAGCAATGCCTTTGAATCATATCTCATTATGCAAGTGCGGTATAAAGCCAGTATCCACAAGGGATACAGTCCAAGACATGCACACACTCTCTTGTAGATACATGGAACTGTGGATAATAGCAAACCCTAGATTTTCACTATATTTGTGCCAGAAGTATACCATAGAACGACATTGGGAGAACTAGAGAGGCCCACAAACAGTTCTGCTGGGGGTGGAGGGAGTATTTTGTAGGATCATTTGTAGGTGAAGCGACGGATATCAAATCCATGGGTAAAAGTATCACACTGGATATGCAAAAACAGTTATTTTAAAATCTAGGGAAAACACAAAATCAAAAACCCTTCTGGTCCTAACCATTTGAGACAAGGATTATTCATCCTGTATTGCAGTTCTTAAGGCAGAAATTCTAGGTTGGTACTATATTTTCATGTATCTCTCTTTTGAGGACATTGAAGCATAGCAACAACTGCTATAGGTGCAGATTGTTGTCACCGTCACCACCATCATTGCAAAAGAAGAAGAAGAATTGGGGTGGGATGTTGGAGAAGGGTAGGAATGCAGAAAAAACCCAACTTATTCTGGCCATTGTAGTACTAATCAATGCACTCTCCTCATGCTATGCAAATTATTATTATGGGAGACATTTATACAACATCAAATTATTGTTCCATACAGAAACTTTCCTATCTAAAGTGGGGGGGGGGGGGCGATTAATAAGAGAGTAGCAATAGGATGAAAATGCTTAACACTCATGTGACTAATTCATATAAGTAACAATGATTGTAAAGATTTCTGTTGTGATTGGCTTACATTATAGTAGGGATGGAGAACCTCTGGGAATGGGCCAGATGCAGCCTTCAGAGTTTCCCATCCTGCTTGTTCTGATGCTATTTCTCATTAGCTGTTTGCCTTTAGAGATAAAACAGAAGGAGAGTGGGAATGTTTTACATGGAAGTGAGCTCTCATCTGCAGCCCAAGAACCTGATCAGAGTTTGCTAAGAGTGGAGAGACAAAGATAGAAAAAGTGAAAGTCATGTTGTTTCCTGCCTGTGGTCTGTTCATCACCTACGTACTAAACCCAGTTTGGCATCATTTGCCAAAGACATGTGTAGAAGATGTTTTTATTGGAGTAGTTTAAGGGTTTGAATACATCTCTTGAAGGCCATTATAATAGTTTTATTGCCATTACAATAGCAGTGTTGTTAAAAATATTATTTTAAGTTATGTTAAACAACCTAATGATAACTTAAACACACATGCACTGTCACATACTAATTTCTCACATACACACACACCCCACTTCACATGCTAATTCCACACACGCGCGCGCACACTCACACCTCGCCACTTTCCACTGCAGGTGGATTTTTTGGGAAAGATGTGCTCAGAGGTGGGAGGTTGCCCTTTGCCTTCCTATGAGACTGAAAGAATGTGACTTGAGCAAAATCACCTAATGGGTTTCCATGGCCAAGTGAGGATTTGAACCCTGGACTCTAGAAATCAGGCCCATAGCCAGGATTTCGATTCGGGGGGAGGGAGGCTGAGTTTCGGGGGGGGGGGGGGCTGAGTCTGAGTGAAAGAGGGTCTACCTAGCAAACCTTTTGTATCATTACCCCAATACCCCCATGCATATGGGTTATATTGAGTATGGTGATCAGATTATGATATGAATAAACATAACAGTTTAAATAATGCACCAGTAAGGCCTTCTCGCGGACCACCCTGAGAATTTGGGGGGGGGGGCTGAACCCCTCAAGCCCCCCCCCCCCCCCCCGGCTACATGCCTGCTAGAGATAGAATCCAACATTCAAGTCACTATACCACACTGGCTCTCTTTTCAGGGGGCAGATTGGAACAACAACAACAATCATCATCATCATCATCATCATCATCATCATCATCATCATTATTTATACTCTGCTCTATCTCACCGAAGGGACTCAGGGCGGATTCCAAACATAAAAGGCAAACATTTAATGCCCGGATACAGCAACAATACATCCATACTAACATAATTTAAACAACCCCACATATAAACACAATTATAACTTAACAACTAAAATTAAATAAAAACACAGTCTGTTACAACAGACATGAGACAAAACATCAAACACAGAATGGAAACAATAATTTCCCATTTTCTTGGGGTAAATCGATTAATCATTGCTCTAGATATCTATTGAGCTGGTGGGGTGAGCAAGGCATGGATACAGATGGCAACTATTAATCAGAGGTATAATGGTAGTATTACCAACTACTATTCCTCCTCCTCATAAGGCAGTTAGCAAAGGTATGTCTTCAGCTGTTTTTTGAAAGTGGGTAGGGAGGGGGACATCTTTAACTCCTTAGGAAGGGAGTTCCAGAGGTGGGGGGCAGTCACGGAGAAGGCCCTTTCTCTCGTTCCCACCAGCTGTGCTTGGGACAGGGGTCAGTCATCAACATTACCTTTCAACCACATCATTGAATCTTTCCTCTAAGAAAATAATATAGAGAGGAGTAGGTTGGAGGAACCTGCATACATGTGAGGTGGGCAGTGCTTCTGTTTGCCACAATATAAATGGATGAAGCAGTCTTATTGGTCAATTCATTTTCTGTTCTCAGTCTCACTTTTGAGGTGAGGATGTTGGAAGTTGAGTTGACATGCTCACTGCCTCGCTGAATTACTTTCGGTGTTTGTACGCAGTAAATTCGATGTAAATTACTGAATAAGGATGGCGCTGATGAAGAAGAACTGGGAAACATGACTAAATAGTTCCATATGAAACAAATACCTGGGGGTTAGGAAGCTCAGGGTTTCAATCACACATAGTACAAGAAGCTAGAAAACAGTGTTCTCATTTTAAAGTACACAAATTGCTAAATTCACCCATAGCCCCATTCAATACACAACAGAGTGTGTATACTATGAGTGTGAAAAAAATCTCAGAGATCATACTTTACATTGTCTGAAACAGTCAAGCTGTCCTATTGACCTGCTTGAGGACAGAATGTTGTACTTGGGCTGAAATAACCTGGCACTCTTACCCCATGAATTCATTCCACAAATTCAGATCAAACACTTGGAACATTTGGCAATGGCCCACAAGTCCCCAGGGAGGCACACATTAATGTTGCCTTTGTCAGAGCTCCACTGCTATTTTCTGTTATTTCTGCAGTCTGTAGATATATTTTGGAGTCTTAGAAAGCAGCAGTTAGCCAAGAACTGAAAAGTAATCATAACTGTTCTCTCTTGAGGTGGAAAGCTCCCTGATGTCTTCCAGATGTTTAGATTACAGCTCCCATCAGAAAGAGCCATGATGGCCAATAATTATGGATTGTGGGATATGTGACACAAAACACCTGGAGGGCAGTGGGTTTCTATAGCATAGACATTGCTTTCTTACTTTCCACAAGTATATGTCACACATGTTGGGAAAACATAACAAAAGTGTGCCTGGAGTTATACAGAAATGACACCATGTCTGCCAGATGGACTAACAGTCTATACTACACTAAGACTACAAGTCTGGCTGGAAGGTGGAAGTCAGCAGCTAAAAATGAATAAAAATGGGACACCCCCAGCAGCAGTACTGGAAGATAGTGGGGCGAGTGCTACTATGATGCATGGACCACCAAGAAGCAGGGTCAGAAAATCACTGAAGCAGAAAAAGCCCACTCATTGGGCAAAAAGGTACCTCTTCCTTGTTGGGTTACACTGCAGCAACTCATGAGGAGGGTTGCTGTGAGTTTTCCGGTCTGTATGGCCATGTACCAGAAGCATTCCCTCCTGAACTTCTGGAACATGGCCATACAGCCTGGCAAATTCACAGCAACCCAGTGATTCTGGCCATTAAAACCTTTGAGAACAAATTCATGAGGAGTCAGAACTGGATTATAAGAACTGGTCTGTCTTTCCCTCTACTGCCGAAGCAAATTGTATGCATGTTTTGTTGGATAATGACATGGTGTTGCCATGGATACACTACTTCATTGCTTCTGATCAGGTCATATAGTTGCACACACATCTCTTATATAAGAAATTTAGTAGGTAATGGAAAAGCAAGGTGCATCTCTCATTTATGAAGATGCCAACTCTTCCCTACCTGCAGCATGTACCCCACCAACCTGGGCTCCCTTCGGATTATATTCAAAGCATTTCAAAGCATAAACTAATCCCATTCTACCCTAAACCTAGGGCTATACTTCAATCAGTTCCTCACAAATTGGCTGACTGTGTCCTGGGTAAAAGAAAGCAAGATTACCATCTCTAGGCAAGACACCAGCAATAAAGCCAAAAAAAAAAAAAAAAGGAAAAAAAAGCAAGCCTTCGGTAGTCACTGGTCAGCAAGGAGAACCATTTAGTCAGAAATGAGAGGCCAAGAGAAGGGAGAGGTTAACCTGATACTTCAGCCCTTTTTATATTTCTGCATGGTATCTGGAAAAACAGTGGAAGAAGCAGTATGGTCCCCCACATTTGGTGTGTCTAGACTGATTAAAAAGATGGTGAAGTTCAAGAATTTATTTCTTTCTTCTTTTATTTTTGGAAATCCATACAAATGTTGTTTGTTCAAGAATGTTTTCTCTCAGCTTCCAGGATGATCAGAGACTTTAATACGAGGTTTCCAATGGGTTTAATTTAACCCAGAATAAAACTGGGAAGAATGAGAATGAGGAGTTTTCAATCAGCCTGGATGCACCCACTGCGTTTGAATGGGTTGGCTACCCCCGTATCAATTGACAATGAACCTGCATTGTGAAGGGTATATTCAGAAAGGCTGCAGTTCAGTCTTGAGTTTAAGTATGCCCTGCAAAAGGGACAGATGGCAAATCATGTTAAAGTACTCTGTTCCTGAGACCTTGTGTCCCCCCCGCCTCCCAAAATCATGTCTGAATGCAACTCCCAACATCACTCATCTTTGGCTATTTTTGCATGGAGCTGATAGGCATTACAGTCTTTGAACAACTGAACAGCCTCGTACTCCCATTTCTGCTTTGAAGTATAGACCTTAATAGGCTTCTTGTTGTTGTTAACTGCTGTCAGGTTGACTTACAGCGAGTCCATGAACATGAGACTCCAACAAGTGATTATCAACAGTCCCACTCAGATTTTTGAGATTCAGGACTAGATACAGACTCTAACCTGGTATAAGGCAGCTTCCTGTTTTCTGTTCCTCCGACTAACTGCACTGCAGAAACAAAAGGTCTTACATTCTCCTGTTTTGCTATAATTCATGCTTTGGAATAAATTAAGGCTGAAATCCTATAAGGAGCTACGTAGTAGAAATTGCCATATATGGAGCGACATGGTGTAATCTTTATGCCAAATAGCAACACTGTGCAATTAAAATCTGCAACTGAATCTATCACTGAATATGCATGCACATGTCAGGCACATCAATGCACAATGTACATGCCCTTCTGCATTTGCAGAAGCACTACATGTGCCATTTCAAAAATCTTGAACTGAACATAGACATTCCTTATAAGACAAAATTGTCCAACCACTTCCACAGGAAAATGCAACACCATCAATATTCGGGACATCATTTCAAGTTCTTGATACTTCAAGATCCTCAACATCACCAAAAATAACCACAATTTACAATTTTATTAAACAGTCAGCACACAGATATTGTTTGGAACTGGGTATTGGGAGAAAATGCTGTAGAACATTTGATTTTAAATCAGCACAATTAATATTTCTTCTACTCCAGAAAAAAACAAAACAAAACCAGTTATCTGGGGCTCATTTCCCCAGCTTAATGAATTTTGGGTCAGCGAAGCAAAAAGATGAAAGCAATAGAAAAATATTGGAGTGTTACAAGAAGAAGACAATGCTGTTTGGACTTCCCATAAATTTAAGTCAATGAGAGTAGACAATTGCATAAGAACAGCCTGATTTCAATACCAGAAAAGAATATGCAGTATTTGATTTTGTGTTTCTTTGTATCTTTGAACTTCAGATACCTATCCATTTTTTTAAAGAATGCAGCTATGTCTATTTCTGTAAACATTCATCTTCATTTTACCTCTCGCCACCACTACATCAGAGGCATTTAAAGCATCAGTGGTTAAGGTATTTCCAGAGATTCAGCCACTAGGCAGTAAATGCCTCCACAATCAACTTATCCCCAGCAGAGCTGCA